CCCATTCCTCAGGACGGGTTCATTCGATTGACCTTTTGACACACAAAATTTATATTTCGATGGATCTCTCCGTTGTGTAGCTATTAATCATCCCCAAACAGTTGCTGTCTTCTCAGTTCGGCACCTTCTGAAAGCATCCTAACGAACAAATACTTCCTCTAAGCTACTGGTGTGATCTTATTTTTATGGACAACGCAAATACTGTATTCAAATAAAACACATTCTACCTCCTCGCATCTCTCTATCACAGCTTATTCACTCTTTTTCTCCTCATTCCTCTTCAAGGCAACCCCCTTTCCCCTCAATAGCTCTGCCTGTCCAGGTAGTGAGTGTCCATGATTAATGGACCTGGAAACCTTCCATTTGTTTATCTACAGCTGCTTGTCTATTTGTCCTCCATTTATCTTTTATCAGAAGATAAAGTTCGCGAGGAAGCATGGTCCTGGAAAACAAACCAAAACATTCCAAAAATGGACGGATTTCAGAATTTTTTAGAGTTCTTATATCTTCAGAGATGGCCATTTACAGTATGTGAGGACTGGAACGCACCGAGCAGGCCCGTGCGATCATGCGTTTTTGTAAAGAAACTTGAAGCACTCAGGCCATTAACTTCGTGAATGGTTGTTGCTTTACACCTGTCTTCTGCGCTCAGTTACGTAAATCACCATAAATTTTCATAAAGTAAATGTACAATTCCATTTAACGGCCGTTGTTTGAAATTAACCTAGCTGTTCAGTGAGCAATTTTCTTGCCAAAACATTTAGGTATCCACATGTGAGAACTGCTCATAACTGAAGGCTGAATTTGAAATATTTAAGTTGTACTTGGACGGGGAGCATCCGCCTAAAATTTCAGCCTTTCAGCCTTTCTGGTGCTGCGGAAACGAGCTACAAATTAGGCCCAATTGCAAGCATAAGTAATAAAAATCTATTACCAGTCGAATGAGCTAAAACGAAATGCCTACCTGGAGACACATTTCTTTCCAGTTTTTGATCGTAACAATATTGCCAATCCAGTGCTGCGCCACT